TCTCCCGCTTTGGAGATCACTAATTCATGGGGACAACCGTTGCCTTCACTCTCCACATTTGCTCTGGCTCCTCTCTCAGTCTTTTTGGTATCTCTCAACCATCTTTCTTCCTGATATTGGTTGGAACAACTACATCTATCACTATGGCCTTCTTTCTCTTCTTGTCCACCACTGCGATGTCTGGTTAGAAAATAAGCTGTTTAAAATGTTTTTGTCTGCAGTAAAAATTTCCTCCATCCATCACTGGAAGTAAACATTAATTGATGATAATCCCAAAGAGTGTGATACAGCAAAGGATAATGATGCAAACAGTTTATTGCTAAATGATAACTGTCACGGTCCTGTGTCGGTGACCCAGTCTTTTGTGTCATTATATACGTTTTTGACTTCACCATTGTTTATCACCGTTGGTGTTTTTGGGTTTCTGTTTTGTATTTCTAGCCCCCTAAGTTCTCTAGTATTTATTGATTTCTAGTTCTTGGGTTTTGTTCCCGTGCCCCTCGTGTTTAGTGTAGGTTAAGTTTTGTCTTTATGTTTATTTTCTTGTTCCCCAGTCAGTCATGTCTCATGTCACTCCTGTCCCTGTGCTTCAAGTTCCCTTTGTTCAGCATCAGGTCCGTGCCTCTGTTCCTGTTGTGTGTTTCCTGTTTTATTTTGATAGATCCTGTCCTGTGTTCAGTGTTTTGAGTTTTGCTTTTCCCGTGTCTTGTTTTGTCTGAGTAGTCCCAGCTGTTCCCCATCCTCTCATTATCCTGCCGGTGTATTTTAGTCCTCAGTGTTCCCCTGCTCACCGTGGTGTCGTCACCATGGTGTGTTTTTCCTCTGTGTTTATGGTAATGTTCAGGCTCCCTCAGGTTTTGTTTTCTAGTTTCCTAGTTTGAGTTTTGTGTTTGCGTTTCTAGTTTACCTTTCTTGCATTTCTTTTGAAAGTTTTTCCCCAGCAATACTACTACTAGCAGTACTAGCAGTACAGCTACTGCTTTTAGTTTATAATTCAGTCTCCAAATCCTGCATTTGGGTCCCACATCCTGCCTGCTGCACAGCAAAACATGACAATAATATAGAAAGAGAAAGGTCTGACTTCATATAAATCCTCACGTGTTTGGTTTAGTGCAAAATAAGTGGAACAACATTGTCCTTTGATATATCACACTGATATATCACTAACAGTATTTTCTCTTGGCATTTTGCAGTTTGGAGAATTTGACTGAAACAGTATTGCAGCACAATCACAAAATGCTATTTTTACTCTGGACATACGATTGTCACAGAACCTGTTTTGTCAACCATATTTCGTGTTTTGGTGTGTTGGTCATGTTGTGTTTACTCTCAAAGACGTCATTTATCAATGCTCAAAAAAGTATATCATAAATTATAATGTAAAATCTTAGATACAATTTTCCACAATTGCCTTTTTCTGGTAATATTTAGCCACTTTTTTTGGCCCAATAGAGCAACTAAGCAAAAAGTGATGTCTTGGAACTTTTCTCTTTGTAACATGGCTGAAAATTTTGGACAGGAAATCTATTCTAGAATTTTACTTGTGTTGTGATGACTGCTCGTGTC